GAAGAGGACTACAAACGAGGGGTTGTGACAAACTGTTTCGTTGGAGTTTCACCGACTCATCAGGAGGCTGAACCATCAACAGTCTGCAGAATCCCCTAACTGATTACACTGTAAGTCATAATCCACCTTAACCCCGGTTGTGGTTAAGCATCAACGACTGCCCGACAACTGATACCTTGAGATGGGCACTAATATATTGTCACATAACTATGAAGTAAAAGAGCGCACTTTGCAAAACAAACGGCAGAAACAAAAAATTAAAAAACTAGACAAGCATGAAGGGCATACCGAAACCATTCATTTTTCTCATTCTTCTTTTAACTCCCCCTTCACCAAGCCTCTCGCGTACAAGGCTCGCCACGTTGATGAAGTTGAGCACGAGCTGCCCCCATCCCCGTGTACCATAACGGTCCACTTGTACGCTGTGAGAAAGAGGCAAAGTGAAGGGGGAGGGGATAAACACATGGAGGGGAGATGGAGAGCAGACAAACAAAGAAAGATAAAGGGAGAGTAAGCAAAACTACGGACTGTGGAGGCTCAAGAATGAGTCTGTCCTTGATGACAGAGAGGACATACATTGTAAGGATGAGGTGGATGAACACACGGAAGACCTAGCTGAGCATTCTCAGTGCAACAATTGCCAYGACGGCTGGCATKGAGCATGCCCACCATACACCCACGACAAATGGCATGTCGATTGCAGGCCAAAATGAAGGAAGAACGGTCACCACAAAAGACCATGCATTCAGTATAGCGCAGATGGCCACAAAATGGACATATAGGGTCTGGATGCGAAGGGTGCCTGCAGCAAGGAATGGAGGGACAGACCTCTGCACACATGGATGCAGAAACCATGTCATTGTAGGGATTGTGACAGAGATGATGGCGGCTACAACCGAGTATAACAGTGTCTGTGGCTGTGCAAAGGAAAAGATCGCACACCGTCGGTACATTGTTTTGCTGCAGCATGGAGCCAGAGGAATGATCTTCGACATAAAAGAGATTGCGGACGGCTTGTGGTGGCAAGAAAACAGCATCATTTTGTAAGAAATAAGTGACATCAGTAATGGCATGGACCATGGTGCCGTTGTCCCACAGCTCCCAGTGGTCAGAGGCATGTACAATGGCCATGTAATGGCCAGGCCCGTGCACAATGCAGGCAGAGATGTGGGATGGAGGATTATGCCACTCACCTGCTCGAGCATTGCGTCGTTCAAGTTGACGGTCCCTTATTGCTACTTGTAGGACAGCAATGGTAAAGCCTCCTTCGCTGATATAATTACAATCCTCTGGCTGTAGTTGGGGAAGATCAGCATCAAGCTGAAGGGCGATTGCAAGGAAGTCTGATGGTGTATAAAACGGGCGGTGGAGAATGTGAACACAGATATTAGTTGCCGTCAGACCGCAGAGATTGGTGAGGTTCTCAGGCTGGTTTGTTGGATGCTGGACAACAATTTGCAGATCACCCAGATGGTGTTGCAAGGCCATACTGTGTTGGGTTGTTTGCTGGTCAGTCATTTGCAGATCAGCCATGTGGTCTGCGCGTGGCGGAGCACAAATTTGTGGTTCACCCGAACAGTGATGGTCAGCCATTTGCATATCCTCCATGTGGTCTACCACTCATGGGGTCAACTGCAATCCGGGCAGTTCATGTTCCAATCCCTCAACGTTTAGGGCTGCATCCTGACTGAGTAGGGACTGTCCCTGGAGTCGGGAGTGTACTCACGGCAGGGACCACATCGTGTTGTACAGGCGAGTCGTGAATATCTAACGCCGCAGGGTATAAAACATGGTGCCGTGGCTGCCTGCAGGCAGCTGGACTCTCTGCAGGAGGCATAGGAGCAGATATTGCCGTTTGAAACAAAGGAACCGCAACAACCTGTGGAGGAGGCACAGCGAGAATCGGGGCAGACAAAGAAACAGGTTGCTGATCCCCGGACAAGTGAAGATGCCACAGATGTCGTCGGAGATGCACAACAAGGAGTAGTGGTGTTGCAGACAAAAGATGAACTTGTACCGAGCAACGAAGGTGGTGGGAACAATAGAAACTGGAAAGTCTGTTCACAAGCGAGACCGTGGAGGAGATGGGGGTGGTGAGGAGGAGCATAGCCGTCTGAGGGGAGTGGATTGGGCAAGATTTCGGAATAAAGGACGTGAGTGACGAAGAGACTGTGATGTTCTTTGCACTGGAGCTGCAGGAGAGGAAGCTGTAGCAGTAAAAACTACACTAGGGGGATTTACAGTTATGGAAACTGCTGTGCTGAAAACTGCAGCAGTGGAAACCGCAGCAGTAGAAACTGCAGCAGTGGAAACTGGAGCAGTGAAAACTGGAGCAGTGGACACTGCAACAGTGGAAACCGTAACAGTGGACACTGCAGCAGTGGAAACTGCAGGAGTGGAGAACGCAGCAGTGGAAACCGCAACAGTGGACACTGCAGCAGTGGAAACT